GCAGCCAGGTTTATGAAATCCCAAGCCTGCGTTTGTAACCACTGAGCTATACTGCCTCCAGTGGTGGCCATTGGGCCTCATTAAAACATAATGCATCAGAATGGAATAGATTTCCCCTAGGTTCACTAGTAAAAGGGCAAATGCATTTTTTAATATTATATTACCCATAGGAATGGTGGGGACACTGTCATGAGATACACATACTCTCAGCATTTAGATCATAAGAAAAAAAATACACCTATTAATAACTAGACAATTATAGTATATGCAACATTTACAGCCCCAGTGATAGACCAGCCCTAAACAACCCTATTTTCTATCATACCACACACAGGTACCACCCAAGGTGAGGGAAACAGGAATGGACACTGGACCCAGAGAAGCTAATTTACAGGCTGCTAATAGCACTTGAGACAAACCAGCCTGAAAATCTCTGCCAAGGCAGGCATGTGTAAGTTCAACCATAAGTATGTTCTCCAAAATATGAACCGGGAAATAGAACAACTCAGTCTTGAGGTAGAGAGAATCCAAAGTTATTCTAGGAATGCAGAAATGGTTACAATCAGAAACATCTACTAATGCAACTCACATCACAACTTTATAAGAGAATAAAGAAAAACTGAGTATCACAATATGTGTAAGAATAGGCATTCGATAAAATTCACTCAAATTGACACAGATAATAAAATTGCACAGAACTTAATACACACACACACAAAGAGTAAAACTGGGGAAATCTGAGCATAATATTGCATTGTATCCATGTCAACATCCTGGTTGTGATCTTATAATTTTCCAAAATGTCCCCATTGTGGGAAACTGGGGAATGTATACAAGGAATCTCTCTGTATCACATCTTAAAACTGCATGTAAATGTGCAGTTATCTCTATTAGAAAGTCAATTAAAAAGAGAGAGAGCAAGAGATGGAGAGGGAAGAGATCAATTTTACAGAAACAAAATTGCATTAATCCATCAAAATTTAGTAAGTTAAAAATATGGAATGTTAATTTTACTAAAAACATTATTGCTACTCTATTCTCCAAATGCTTTATTATAGTCTGCAGATATTTTAAAGTTTCAAAGTTTTTATTTTCAGAAGATCATAACCTTTCCAAGGATACTGACAACATGGTAATATGATGAATGCAATACTAGCCTATAAGAAATAGAGTCAGGGGTATCATACGATATATGATGCCTAAAGTAAAAAATCCATGTCCAAAGATTTTCCTTACCCTACATTATACCAACCTTGTGCTTGATGTGCTATTTTTGTTCCAGTTATCATATTAGAAGGAATCATTGTGCCGACAAAAAAACCTTCACTAACAAGAGAGAAAGAGAATTTCCACAATCTAATAAGGACTGTCCCCCAAACCCCACAGCAAGCATCATGCTTAAGTGGTGATGTGAGCAGATATGAACTCTGTTATATGCTCTTTACATTAAAGTTAAGATTCCCACTATCACTGCTTATAATTAATACAGTATTGGGATCCCACCCGGGGCCATTTAAAGTTTTAATTTAATTAATTATATTTAATTTTAATTCAGCATACTTAATACTTAAATTAATTAAGTATACACATATCTAATTGTACTTTTTAAAAGTTACTTTATTTACTTATTTTTTTAGAGATGAAGTATTGATATGTTACCCAGTCTGGTCTCGAACTCCTGTACTCAAGGGACCCTCCCACCTCAGCTTCCCAAGTACCTGGGAATATAGGCAAGTAGCACTGGGCCCGGATTCTTAAGTACACTTTCAATTAAGCATACTTAAAAGTAGAAGAATTAAAAAGAGACAAAATTGTCACTATTCCTAGGTCATGTGATTCTTTAGAAAACGCATGGTAAATTTTAGAAAAAATAGGAGTCCACCAAAGTCGCCAGATTCAAGATGGATAGCAGAGAACAAAGAGCTCATGATGGACATCATGAACTGGAGTTTTAAGTAAGCAGATAAGACAACTCATTAGCACAACTAAGAGAAGTGAAAAGACCGAGCCTAGAGAGAAGACTGCAGACCCCTGCAGACTCTCCCACCACACTAGATCAAGGACTAGTCTCTGGGAACCCAGCCACACGGTGCTGGCTCTTTGGCTCCCAGAGTTCCTTCCCGTGATACTTACCAGGACCACCTGTCTAACCTAACCTGATAAACGTCTGCAACTGGTACTCACGAGTGCCCAGCTCAGCCAGGCATGGTGATGTGCACCTATAATCCCACCTACTCCAAAGTCTAAGGCAGGAGGATCACTCGAACCTGGGAGCAACCTGAGCAACATGGGGAGACCTCATCTCAAACAACATCAAAAAAAATATGGCCCCACTAAAACTTACATACATACATACAAAAGATGGACATACATTCAGAATTGGAATAAGTCATAGTTAACTCTAACTTCTACTTAAAATTCTAATTTTTATTTATTTATAAAGTCAGTTTTAACAGGCCCACGATCAGAGAGAAGCAATGTGGTAATCTAGGGCTACAAATAATCTCTAAAGTGCTCTTAATTTGTTTTGAAATGTGCTATAAATCTTTGTAGTAGGTATACCTTTCCAGTGAGATTTTGCTTAGACTACCATTAAAATAAGATTTAACATTATGAACAGAGAGTAACAGATAACCAAGAAGAATTACCCAGTAGTGGGATGTCAACTTTTTCTTTGAGACATGGTCTTACTCTGCCACCCAAGCTGGAATGCAGTGGTACAATCACAGCTCACTGCAGCCTCGACCTTCAGGTGATCCTCCTACCTCAGCCTCCCAAGTAGCTGGGACAAGAAGTGCATGCCACCATGCCTGGCTAATTTTTGTATTTTTTGTAGAGATGAGGTTTCACCATGTTGCCCAAGCTGGTCTTCATCTCCTGAGCTCAAGCAATTTTCCGCCTCAGGCTCCCAGAGTGCTGGGATTACATACGTCAGCCACCACTCCTGGCTGGGATGCCAACTTTTGCCCAATGAGAGGAAACCAGGCAACATAGCACCATTGTTGAGTTTTTGAGCCATGAAGTTAATATGAACCTAATGAAGAAAATTAATATACAAAGGCATATGTAAGAGAGTTTGATGTTTTCAATAATGGCTCAGGCTACCTTTGGTAGCACTACTGAAGAAAGCTCAGTACCTTTTGTGTTCTTTGATATTCCTGAGACAAAGGATTTGGATGACGACAGCAATAACATATGTTTCCTTAAATGTAGGCAAAAACCCCACTTCTTTCCTCATTCAGAACATGCTGTCCAATGTGGTAGCCCCTAGTCATGTGTGGCTGTGGAACACTTGAACAAGGGCTTCACACACTGTAAGTTCAAAATCACACTGGATTTCCAAGACTTAGTATAAGAAATATATTAAAATCTCATTAATAATTTTTAATTGATTACATGTTGAAATGCTATTATGTTTATATTATGTTAATTAGAATATATTATTAAGATTTCACCTGTTTTTTTCACTTTTTCAAATGTGTCTACCAGAACATTTTAAATTATATATGTGGCTCACTTTTTTGGCTCATATGGTATAACTACCAGATAGCACTGATTTAAAAAGTCAAAAGGTATTTTAAATGATGTGAGTATAGTATATGTAACACTTAAAATATTAATAAATATGTTTATAAGACCCTTTGTATGTCATTTGATAACAAATTCCTATAAAGACAGATATAACCTTGCAACAATGGTACAAAAGAGGTACCATGTATTAGGTTCTAACTTTCTGACAGGGATAGTGCTAAATGCTTCAGGTAAATGATCTGAAATTCTCCCAACAAGAAAAAGTAATTTGGATCAGGGAAACTGAGCAATTTTTTCAAGATCACACAACTCAGAATTGCTAGATCTAGGCTCTGAAGGCAGCTCTGAGGCCAATGCCAGTACTCCGTGGTACTTCAAGTAGAGAAACTAGGAGAAATCCTGTTTGGAAGTGGCCATCTCTTATGAAGTTGATTATTATCCAGTTTGGGCAGGGACTATCCAAGCCACATGCCTATCATTAAGAGGGTGGTCCTAATTAGCTGGGCATGGTGGTATGCACCTGTGGTTCCAGCTACTCAGGAGGCTGAACTGGGAGGATCGCATGAGCCCAGGAGTTTGAAACTGCAATGAGCCATGATCACACCACTGCACTTCGGCCTGGGAGACAGGGTGAAATGTTGCCCCCAAAAAAAGAAGAGGAGGCAGAAGGTGCTCCTTTTCAGTTTTGGATGCTGTAGAGTGATTCGTTTTGAAGACCAGCCGCTCATCCTGCTCTGAGAAAGGATTTGCAGGAGTGGCATGTTGGCCATGTGGCAAAACCTGTCAGAGGCAGCCAAAACAATGATGCCAAGTGAGATACGGTCAGCTGCCCGCGGCGCCACCTCATAGATGAATCCCTCTGCTTAATCCTCAGTCTGATCTAAGGTTCTGACTCTTGTCCACTCTTGGAATGCACTAGTAACAACAGCACTTACGGGATTTGAGGCCCTGTAGTATGTGAGTAGGAAGCAACTTCCAGCAGAAAGAGACAACAACACCATCCACAGGCAGACTAGCCAGAAAGCTAAGCCAGGCTGCCAAAAGAAAGAGCCTCCTAAAACCCCAAATATCTGCTGCCACCAAGCTTTGGAAAAATTAGGCACGCAAACCTTTGGCACGCCTTCATCCTTCTTCTCCCCCAAAACCCTCTTAGTCACTTATGTGATGGAAGTCTACAGACATTCTACTTAGCCACCACAAGTGCCCACAAAAAAGCAAATGTCCTTCCTGCAGCAGCTGAAAAGGTGTGAGTGAAGGATAGAATGATCGTGGGTATATTGGGGAAGGAAGGAAGAAAACCACCCAGAAAGAAAGACAAAAAAAAAAAAAAAACCAGAAGGCAACAGTGACATCAGACCTGAACCTAGGAATTTTTGAATGGCTCAGAATGGGACACTCTGTCATCTCTGATTTAATTAGAAGACTGTTTTCAGGATGCTGAAGGTCCAGGCTCATAATCAGGCACTTACATAATCCTCTTCATTGAGCCCTTGTTTCTCAACAGAACTTTTCACCTCCATGGAAAACTTCTCAAACTCAGGCTTCACTGTCCTCAGTAGAGTGACCGTCTGGAGGGATGAGTATGCTTGCTTAGCTTCAAAGTCGTGTTTGTCTCCTCTCTTCCACGAGCCATCTCCTACGGAAGAAATAAAAATATTTATAATTCCAAGCCAGCCACCATAAAGAGGCCGTTCTCCCTTTACAACTGTGACGTGTCCCCTGCTTGTTAGTTTGGCAGCCAGTACGAGAGGTATTGTCATAGTTTTGCACTTAGGTATGATGCGACAATGTCAAGACCACTGAAGGAGAAGGAGGCCCTCTGCACATGTGTTCCTTTGAAATGTGAGCAAGAAAGAAGAGGACTGTTGAGGTCATTGCCCTGTAATAACCCTGTAACTGCAATTTTCAGCCCTGCCCCACCCCCAAAATTACAGCACTGTAGGAGAAATAATTCAGTTTTTATTCCTTGCCATTCACACTTTTTTTTTTTTAAGTTGGAGTCTCGCGCTATCACCAGGCTGGAGTGCAGAGGCGCCATCTCATCTCACCACAACCTCCACCTCCTGGGTTTAAGCTATCCTCCTGCCTCAGCCTCCCAAGTAGCTGGGACGGACGACAGGCATGTGCCCTTACACCCGGCTAATTTTTGTATTTTTAGTAGAGACAGGGTTTCACCATGTGGGCCAGGATGGTCTTGATCTCCTGACCTCATGACCTGCCCGCCTTGGCCTCCCAAAGTGCTGGGATTACAGGCGTGAGCCACCACGCCCGGCCTACACTTCTTTTTTAACACGTACAAGCAACTTGTGAAGGTGAATCAAGTGGCTAGTGTGGTATAATAAACCTGATGTTTTGTGGGTGTGGGGCAGCAGGTCACAGCAACGCATGACAATAGATATGCACAACTATTAGAAAGTTAGTGCTGTTAAAAGAAAGAAGTTTGAGATTACTGATATTTCTTGAATCTTTTCAGGGTGAGTGGTTGCTTAGGTCAACTCAAAGATTTGTATCTCTCTAGTGCTGGCAACATCATAGAAATTATTTCTTAGAAAAGTTCCATTAGTGCATTCGTGGTAATGAAATAAAAAATGCTAACATTTATTAAGCACATATATAATAATAATAAAAGCTCTATTTGTTGAGCACTTTATATGTATAAAAACATTTACTCCTCACAAGGCCCTGTGATACGGGTACTATGATCCTCTCTATTTTACAGATAAGGAAACTGATGCGTAGGGAAGCTGGGTAGCCCGGTGTTTCACAGGTCTCTCTTTTACAACAGCAAAGTCAGATTACATGAATAAGCATAACTATTTTTCTCTTCATTATTTTATTTTCAAGAAAACATGTGGCTTACAGGACCCAAAAGACAAGGCGGGCCTCTGACTTTTGACAATGAGCTATTTTTTTCTATGAATTGTTATTATGATTCCTGGAGCTCTCTGAAAATATAAGGAACTCCACTTGCTGGTGTCCAATGCCAAAGTCATCTGCTTGCCCAGAGCCCCCGCATCCTTGGCAGAGGCCTCGAACCCAACGGCTGAGAATATCTCTGGGGTTCGTGGCTGGGACTCTGTGGCACTCACTCTACTCCTGAAGAAGTTCAACAAAGACCTGGTAGCTTTGGAATTTCTATGACAGCCTGAATCAGACAAGCATGTATGAACTATGCAAGGTCCTGAGATTGGCAGGGTGGGCATTGTAAATACAGTCTCCACCACACTCAAGGGAGAGGCTGACGGTGTGACATGTAAACAACTGAGGTTATCACAGGGAGGACCACAGCTTACTATGGCGGGGTGGTACAAAGAAACAACATAGAGTGTAGAGGAGGACAATCTAACCTGGGGGAAGGCTGCATGTGAGGAAGAAGCATTAGCCCGGTCCTAACTGTGTGAACAGGGTTTTAATAGGTGGAGAGGAGGGCGGAAGGGCATGCTTGGCTGAGCCTACAGCACAGCACAGGCAAAGGTGCAAATGTGCCTGACAGCCAGGAAGCAGCTGGGTGCTTCGTCTAGAGCCCGAAAAAAGGTAGAGACAAAGAAAATGTTTGCAGAGCCATCTGGATAATCATAATCCTAATAATAGCAACCATTTATTAATTGCTTACATGTGTCAGGGAGCTGTTAAAAGATAAGCAAGACACAGCTGAGGACAGAATTCATTAGGAACTAAATCTGTGCTCAATGAGCACAAGATTAAATTTCAGGCCACTGAGCAAAACTTGACAAAGTCTTCCTCCTCTCCCATGAAACCTCCCAGACACTGTGGAGGCCTCAGTGTGAGCCAAGCCATACCCGTGCTCCGGCCAGTGAGCCATCAAGCAGGTAAAACCAGCTGGATGCTCACTCACTAAGATAGCATGGGCTTTGTTAAGGGGCCAAGTCCACTGCCAGGAAGACCCCAAATTCTAAGAATGCTCAGGACATCTTTGTTCAATGGAAGAGCCCATTACTTGCAGGCATGCGATAAATAGTTATTGATTCATTTTTAATTGACTGTAAGTATCAAGACTCAGTAGAGGTTATGTCTCAAGCAAAGTGGGTATGAGTTTCTCAGATCTGGAAAAAAATTCTCTCCAGGGGCCTAAGAAGGGAAATGCTTAACTCTATAGAGTTGTATGCTATGTAATTAGAAAATACAGATAGGAGTAGAAACTGCAACCATCTCAGGGACTGAAATAGGCAAAAACATTTTTTTTAATTTGAAAGAAGTAAAATCCAGTACAATAAATCTGTCTACCACAATCTAAAAGGTAATGGCTTTGGAGTTTTGTTTTCCTATTTTTGTTGCTGTTTTGTTTTTGTTTTTGTTTTTTGAGATAGAGTCTCACTCTGTCACCCAGACTGGAGTGCAGTGGCACAATCTCTGCTTACTGCAAGCTTCGCCTCCAGGGTTCACGCAATTCTGCCTCAACCTACCAAGTTGGGATTACAGACATGCGCCACCACACCCAGCTAATTTTTGTATTTTTAGTAGAGATGGGATTTCACCATTTTGGCCAGGCTGGTTTTGAACTCCTGATCTCAAGTGATCCACCTGCCTCAGCCTCCCAAAATGTTGGGATTACAGGCATGAGCCATTGCGCCCAGCCCAGAGTTTTGCTTCCTAGAAAAAAGAATGGAAATAGTAGTGCTTAATAAATGTAAGCCAAGCTAAATAGATATCTATTCCCAGCCATAACTGATACTGTGCCTTCCTGCTTTTTGTGGGCATTTCTAACAGTGCTGTGTCAGTAACATCTCCCTTATCCAGGCGGTTGAGCATGAGGAAAGCAGAGGTCGGCTTGGCATGACGCCCCATCAGTGGGGACGAACTTAATGCAGTAGACAACTGGGTGCCTCTGGAGATTTATGAGCAGAGCAGAAGAGTGACATGATGAGAATCAGCCTTGGGAAATAGCTGTGGATTAGAGTTGGGGAGATACCAAGCGTTCATAGCCACAGTAACCCAGGCAAGAGGTAGAGAAGGTTATATGTGGGAATTCACACCAAAAATGGCTCTCAGGATGGCTACAATTATGAGCAAGTTTTCTTTTCCTTTTTTTTTCTGAATATAGAAAATTTTCAATAATAACCACTGACTACTTTTATTATCAAAAAAGAGATAGAGCCTTTGAGAACAAAGGTAGAGGGCTGTGCATGAGAAATCTCAAGACTGTACAACAGTTAGAGAGTGAGGGACAACAGAGAAGGAGGCATGTCACACATGACGCCAAGGAGAAAAAGAAAACAGGTTATCATTAAGGAAGCAGCAGAACCAGATGGAGGAGGAGGGAGTTAGGAGGACATGGAAATGATTATTTCAGTTAGGGGTATGGCAAATCCAAGAATGCCCAAGTGACCACCAGGCTAGAGGTGGAAATACTAGTCAAAAGCCAAAAAGAGGAGTGAGGACTAGAGACCATACTGGGTGTCATTTCCACACGGCTCCAAGTTAGAAGCGGGGGGCTGCCTCACCAGACATGAAAGAGAGTGCAGAAAGCAGAGGGAGAAGGGCAGGGCACAGATACTTTGGGGGATGCTATTTTTAGTGGGCAAAAGGACTAAGAAGAGACAGAGAGGAGATAACAGGGAACCAGAAGAATGCTGTGTCACCAAAGCTAAGAGCATAGGGTTACCAGAAAGGGATGGATGGCAACCAGATCGAATGATCTACAGACGTGCTGTCTCACAGAGTAGCCCCTAGCCACACGTGTGACTATTTAAATTTAATTAAAATTAAAATTTCAACTCTTCAGTCACACGTGCGGTATTTAAAGTGCTCAATAGCCACGTGTGGCTGGTAGCCACCATATTGGACAGCACAGACGGGAACGTAGCCGTCACTGCAGGAAGTTCCACTGGGTGGCGCTGCTGTGGAGGCATGGAGGCATGGTCTCAGGAAAGGCTAATGGATTTGGTAATGAGCAGCTCACTGGTGACCTTGAGGAAAGCACTTGCAGAGCAGTGGTGGATACTAATGCTGTATTAAACACCCAAGCTTGCATTGGGTGAGGAATATTTATGAAAGAGGAAGGTAGTCTGCTCAGCACCGAGCCCTGCACTCAGCAATCCTGTGGCTAAAGAGCTGCAGCCAATAATGGGTACCCACGCTGGGGTAGCTGTGCAATCCTGAAGCTCCGAGCACTTACCAAGGACCTAGCACATGGTAAGCTTTCAACATATATTATCTGAATGAGTAGCTGAACCATCACAGAATCTGCCCAAGAAATGAAGGCTTAGCCTTCACCTGGCCTAGCCCCACAGTACTGTGGATCTTCAGCTCTGGTGGTCATTAAGGAGAGAAAATAATTGCCTTCCTTGACTTACGCCCACCTTTTCCAAACGACTCCGAGAGGGGAAAAGACCATCATGGAAGCAAGGAGGACAAAATAAGTGTTTATCTTGCAAGCCTCAAATCTCCAATTTGATCTGCTACAGGAAGCAGTGGCTACTTTTGTTTCATTGGCTTTTCTTTATCTCCATGAAAAGTGTGTTTTATTATCTGTCTATGCACAGTGATGTACTGCTCCAGTAAGCCAGGATGTCAGAGCAGGAAACCCGGGTGTATGTTTTAAGATTTAGATCCTGTCCAACTATATCTCATCAGCAAGAACTAGGAAATGAAGCTCAGTATAAACGTGCCATTTGTGATATACACACTAACACTTCCCCTACAAGTGCTCAGCTCTGAACAGCCAGCGTTTAGTGTTTGAGAAAATGTTCTGTAGCCTTACGCTGTCTGCTTCAGAGAGAGACAAACTACGTTTGGGGGAGAAATGTCTTGTACCTGTTATCTTGATGGCCTCCTTAAACACCCTCCATCATAAGAACCCACAAACTTCCCCAGATTCATTAGAGGGAATTAAATGCTTTCAACCCTGTACATTGGTGGTTCACAACTTCTATATAGGAGTGGTTTAAGGTGCAGTAATCTGGAAGAAAGAGAGGAGGGGGATCAGTGGCTTTCAAATGATTTTTACCTCAATTTGCAGTAGCAGTTATTTTATTTTACACTGTGGCCCATTGCAAACATAGGTGTAGCATGCCCCTATACACACAAATCCACAATAATATTACTAAAGTAAAAGTTTTCTAAAACAATACACATGCTAAGTATGATACACCTTTACCTGTTCAATAGTGTTATGTTCCAGTCTATTCCATTCTATTAAAAGTTCTGCCCAAATCTCACGAACTTATTCTGATCATGATGGTATCATGGTGATAGTAATGTGCAGTTGGAAAAGCACTGGACAAGGGTTCGTTGGGACGTGGATTTATAACCATTTAAAGTGACTACAGGGGTGGGCTACGCTCATACCCAGACAGGTGTCTTGACATCACAGGTACATGGCATTTTTTTGCTCTAATTGAATTGTTGGAGATGAAGCTAATTCAAGAAATTTGAGAAGCTGTAGGAGTGTTCAGAGTCACAAATTTCCAAACTTGCATTTATGGAAATCACATTTATGGACATAATTCAAATTTTTGACTCTTTCTCACAACCCCCCTGTTTTTTGTTTCAGCATTTATTCTAGATACAAGGGGTACATGTGCAGATTTTTTACATGGAAATATTGTGTGATGATTTGGAGTATGGATCCCGTCACCCAGGCAGTGAACATAGTACCCAACAGGGTTTTTTTTAACCCACCTCCATGTCCCCCAGGAGTCCCCAGTGTCTGTTGTTCCCATGTTTATGTCCAAGCTCAGTATTTAGCTCACAATTATAAGTGAGAACATGCAGCGTTTGGTTTTCTGTTCCTGCATTAATTTGTTTGGATCATGGCCTCCAGCTCCATTGCTGTTGCTGCAAAGGACATGATTCCATTCTTTTCTATAGCTGCATAGTATTCCCTGGTGTTTATGTACCACATATTCTTTATCCAACCCACCCTTCATGGGCACCTGACAACCTCTCTTGGAACCTTAGCAGAGGAGGGGAAAATGGAAGTAGAGTTACCATAGGAAGAGCTGTTGAAGAGCTCAATGTTGAAGAAGGCGTAGTCTCCACTGGTCATGCCATGCCTGTGAGCCTCCAGCATGATGTTCCGGATGGTATCACTTCCCGCACACATGATCACCACTAGGGGAGGAACAAACAACACACATCAGGCACTCCTTTGCAGAGCACTTTGAGATCACTGACACCAGTAAGGGACACCTGACAAGGAGCAGGATACTTGCATGGTCCTGAAGTCTCTCCTCACAATCACTTGTTAACTACAAATGGACCATGGAGGAACCTAGCCGACACCTCCATAACCAAGAGATGGAAGCCAACATTACCAACCATGGGAACACAGACTCATGAGACACCTGGAATAACACTCCGAGGACCAAAAACATCCAGATGGGCAGCCTACATCTAATCAGGAGACAGCCATAAATCCAACTTGGAGGACAGTCTGTAGAAAATCGGCCTATGCTCTTTAAAATGCTCAATTTCATGAACAACAAAGTCAGGCTAAAGAAATGTTCTAGACTGAAAGAGACTTAAAGGAATAGGCAACTGACTACAATGTGTGATGCTGGATTGGATTCTGAACCTTAAAATAAATAAATAATGTTTTGCTATAAAGGGCATTATGAAGATGACTGGTGAAATTCGAATAAGTTCCGTACACTAGATAATAGAATTCTATTTCTGTTAAAGTTATTACTTTTCATAATTATACTATGGTTATGTAAGTGAACGTCCTTGTTCTTAGGAAACACACACTTGAATGTTTGGAATAAATAAGCATGATTCTGTACTTTCAAATAGTTCATAAAAAGTATAATCTGTGTGTGTATGTATATGTACACATACATTGATAGATAGAGGATAGGTAGATAGATAGAAAAGAGAAGGAGAATGGATGGGAGGGGAGGGGAGAGTAGGGGAGAGGGCAAGGAAGATACTTGAAATCATAAATCTAATGTGGCAAAATATTACAATTGATGAAATTCTTAAGTGAATCTTGTACAGACCAGTTCTTTATACTTTCTTACATCTTTTCCAAAAATGCAAGATTATTTAAAAATAAAGTTCTTTGTTTAAAAAAATGCATCAAATATATCACCTGATTTGCCCAATATAAGACAGTGCAAATTGTCAACTGTTTTTTATACTTAATAGCATGGTAAACGCATTGTTCTGAAAAAGCAAACTCAATAGTTTTAGAGAGAACATTCACTTGGCAAATCAGAGGGTTCAGGGAGTGGTACAAGCTTTCTGCTGTTTGAATTTTAAAACAGTATTTTCAGGTTGTCTCTACATATATAAGAAACGGTTTATAAGATTCCAGGTGTCTCTCATGTTCTCTCAGTTTATATCCACACTGTTGGATTCAAGAGGCTTCACACAACTCGAAACCTCTCCAGTTGGATATTGTTGCCTACCACATAAGGGCTACACAGGCTGGAGTGAAGTAGGGCTTGACCATTGCCCAGTCAATTTGATCCCTGTTGATATACCCAGGTCTCCATGACCAGGACCACTGTGTTTTGCTGCACACATACTGTGCAGAGGAGAGACCTGGAGAGACCTGGGTGCTATAAACCGCATTATCATGATGCATGCCAGCCCTCCAAGATGTGTATGTTCTTTGTAAAAGCATGGGTGCTGAAAGACGCAAAACAAACTTCAGGCTATGCCAAAGCGGCCTTGGCAACCTGCATGGAGGTTGGGCTCTTGTTGATATTTAGTTTACTGCGTACGTTAATTCAGTGTTAGATCACGACTCTGACATTTCATAGCCCAAAAGGGCTTGGTGTACAGCATAAAAGCTCTAGAGAAAAAGTTTCTAAAACAATACAAACTTCTTAAAGACCTATAACTATGGGAGTAGGTGTTGTTTCTGCCTGAAAGTACAGTTATATATTTGGGATAAATAATCAAATTCCAAGATGCCTCAGTAAGGAACTTTTCAAAGAAACTCCTAATTATTTGTTATGACTTAGACCCTTGTTTTACCTCTGATTTGATTCTAGCCTCCTAAATGAACAAAATGCCAAAATGTCCCATAAAAAATGCAACAAGAGACTGAGGCTGGACAAGTTTAAAGAATGTGGATTCCAAGAGTGGATGTCTCCAGCAGGTTCCAGGAAGCTCTGGCTGACTGGCCACCAAGAAGCCCTCATCATTTTCTGATCAAGTGACCATAGTCCAGGGTCTGGCTCTCAAACCCAAGATGCAGAGCCTGATTCTATCAACATATAGAGAGTAGAGTCATTTCTTAGGGGCAAGTTTCCGATAACGCAACTCAGATATGTTTAGGTAATCTGAAATGCATGCTACTTAAATTGAATGAGGGCCAGAATGGTTAAGAATATACTTGTTTCAACATTCCAACTAACTGGAGAGACAAATTATAAACAGTAGGATGTAGGTAAGTATGAAATCAGAATCAGGGAGGCCAGTGGAGGATTCAGGGTGTCAAAGGCACCAAAATTTGATGATCCTAGGCATCCATCTAAGAGATATATCTGGTCCAGGACCAACCAGGCAGGGTCCAAAGACCAGAGGACAAGCTTTTCTAAACTTTGCCTGAAGTATTCCTAAACACTGGCCTCTGTGGCACTTTTTTTCTATTTTTACATTCCTGGTTCATCTCCTTCTCTCTCTTCCTGCTATGGTTCCGTTGTGCTCCCCCGATTTCATGTGTTGGAAACCTAATGCTCAAAATCAAATGTTGATAGTATTTGGAGATGGGGCCTTTGATAAATACTTAGAATTAGATAAGGTTATCAGGTGGATCCCCAAGTTGGGACTGGCAGTTTAGAAAAGGAAGAGAGACCTAAGCTGGAACACGCTTGCTCTCTCACCATGTGATGCCCTCCATAGTGTTATGACACAGCAAGAAGGCCTTCACAAGATGCCAGCACCATGCTCTTAGACTTCCTAGCCTCTAGAATCATAAGCTAATAAACTTCTTTTTTTTTTTTTTTTTTTTTTTTTTTTTTTGAGATGGAGTTTCACTCTTATCACCCAGGCTGGAGTACAATAGCAAAATCTCAGATCACTGAAAGCTCTGCCTCCTGAATTCAAGGGATTCTCCTGCCTTAGCCTCCCAAGTAGCCTGGATTACAAGTGCCCACCACCATGCCCAGCTAATTTTAGTATTTTTAGTAGAAATGGGGTTTCACCATGTTGGCCAGGATGGTCTCATACACCTGACTTCAGGGAATCCACACACCCCCGCCTCCCAAAGTGCTGGGGTTACAGGCGTGAGCCACTGCACCTGGCCATAAACTTATTTTCTTTATAAATTACCCAGTCTGTGGTATTTTGTCATAGCAACAGAAAACAAATGAAGGCATACCCCACCACCACCAAGTCCTTCTGAAGGACACATTCTTTGTTTTTTGTTGTTGTTTGTTTGGAGACAGACTCTCACTCTGTCACCCAGGCTGGGATGCAGAGGCTTAATCTTGGCTCACTGCAACTTCCATCCCCTGGGCTCAAGCAATCCTCCCACCTCAGTGCCTCCCACGTAGCTGGGACTACAGATGTGTGTTACCACATCAGCTAATTTTTGTATTTTTTGTACAGATAGAGTTTCTCCATGTTGACCAGGCTGGTCTCAAACTCCTGGCCTCAAGTGATCTGCCCACCTTGTCCTCCCAAAGTGCTGGGATTACAGGCATGAGACACCACACCCAGCCTACTTTCTTTTTCTAAATGTTAGTACCCACTTAGACTAAGCAAGTAGAGTGGTACTGTATCTATCTAAGTATATTTTGATTATTTTAGACCTTATCCATTTAGTGTTGGTCATGTGATTTAAGACTCAAAAGGAAGCCCTAATTTCCAAGTTCATGGGCACAGCATTGTCTTTCTTGAATAAACCAAGCCCATAATGCACATCATCATCCAGTTTCAGTTCAAACTGCAGCAAGCACCTAATAATACTGGCCCAGCCGTCAGAGTGCATGATCCTAGATTTCTATGATGCTCCCCAATCTCTTAGCGTTGTCTCATCCATGCCTAATTGAACAGCAAGTATTTTTAGTAACTTGCCTTTATACAATCAAAAGGTTTAGAATAATTTTTTATTAAAGTAGCTTTCTCTTCCTGCTCATGTTTTATTAATTTATATAATAACTAATTAAATTATGGATTTATCATAATGAGCACAACCAGCATCAACAGACTTGGGGACAACTTAGAAAATATATGAAGTTTATATATTCGTACATTTGATGAATAAATAACAATGAGAAGTGTGTAGCATATTCAGAAGAACGATACTAGCTGCCAACACCTACCAAGAGGTGATAAGATATACAGAGAACAAAGAACATCAGTTAATCCTGCGACCTGCATAAATGGAGGTTAATTGAGGAAGTTTTTGTTGTATCACAATATAGTTAAATATATAAATATTAATTTTAGGTCAAATTGTTGAAATTCTAAAAGAGGGGATGATGGTGTAACTCTAACTTTATGTATAGACTTTTTTCAACCGACTCTATTTTCTCCTCCTTGCCAAAGAACTTTCAATGTTCCATGCCACCCCCTATCATCTGGTTCCCACAACGACTTCTGTAAATGGCTTCTCACTATTGCATCATGTTCTTGCAATCACCCTAAGAACAGCAGAGAAAAATGCAAAGAGGTGGCTATAGTAGTCAATTCAGAGTATCAAAAACATTCCACGTAGTATGCCTGAATTGGGGGGATATTTATTTCCCAAATTTCACGTTTCCATTGGAAGAAATTTCTAATGGGCTAACAGTTCTCATCTCTCAATATGCTTTCATTTACCCTCCCCTCACCCACAACAAGAGGAAAAAAAAGTGAAATGTCTGATTGTTGAGCCTAAAACTCAGTATACTGGCTCAATCTTTCCTTCCTTCTTCTTGGGTTGTGGCTCTTTGCAGAGAGCCCACATCATGGGCTTCTTGTGTCACATGGCCAGGAGTTAGCTGCAGCTAAATGGCACTATCTGTGACTTAATAGATATCCCTGCCTAATTCTGGAAGGAAGTAATAGCAAGCAGGCCCTTTTGGAAATGGATCTAAATCCATGTTCTCTAGCTGGTTTTATCAATAATACAGATATTTTCATATTCTCCATTTGGCTCCTGTATCCATCTTCCAGTTAATTCTAAACTTAGAAGGAAAAGAGGGCTATTACTGCATGGAAGCAAAGCAGAGTATGCCATATCCTGCACACTGAAAGTGTGATAACAAAATGAAAAACTCAGCAGTAATTTTGGAAGTGCCCTAGGAAATACCCAAACAAGATGAATTTAAAAAAAAAAAAAAAAAAAAGCAGTAAATAGAAGGTAAGAAAAGTAGAGGATCAATCCAAGAGGTCTAGCATCCAAATAAGAAAAAAAAACCTAGAAAGAGAAAAGAATAAATAAAAAGGATACAATTATCACAGAAATAATTTAAGAAGCATTCCCAGAATTACAAGATATGAGTTTCTGCATAAAAGAGGCCTACTGAGTACACAAGAAAGAGGAGAAGATTTTAAATATTTCCAGGAAAGCAAAACAACAAAACGTTCAGAATCCAAGCTGATTCCTAATAGCAATGTTAGAATTTAGAAGACAGTAAAGCAATGCTGTCACATTTTGAGGAAAATTATTTCCAACTTAGAATACTATAATTATGTATAAAGGTATGATGAAAATGTTCCAGTCGCAAAAGTTCTCAAAATTTAGGTCTTACTCAACCTTTCTCAGAAAGCTCTTGGAGGATGTGCTCCACCAAAACGAAACCATAATCAAAAAAGAGGAACACACAGGGAACTAGTTCAACAGAGAGGTGATGGAAGCCCCAGGAGGATACTGAAGAACCCAGAGTGGCAATTGTGCAAAATACCTGGAAAATAACTAACTGAAACAACTCAGGAGACTTGAAATAAAGAATTAGAAGATTATTTAATTATAAATCCATAGTAAGCCTAGATGACTTAACCTTAAATATCATTTAGAAATTAATGATAATATTTATATTGAATATTGGGCATACTAAAAAAAAAAAAACTGTTCAAGAGATGGGGTCTAGCTATGTTGCCCAGGCTGGAATGCAGTGGCTATTCAAATATTGCAATCCATAGCCTCAAACTCTTGGACTCAAGCAATCCTCCTGCCTCAGCCTCCTGAGAAAAATTTGGAAACACCCATATTGGAAATATGACTCGAAAGAAAGCTTGCATGTGTGGTCAACAAGCAGTAGAATGACCGAGAAGAAAATTTTCTTCCACTGGTATTCCAAGAGATAAGACCTAACACTGAAAAAAAAAAAAAAAAAAAAAAAAAGTAGCATGTTATTAAAAGATAAAGGCCAATACCTACAGAAACAGCTAACAAGAATTGAAAATGGTTGCTTCTAAAAAGTGAAACACAGCGAGTAGGAGACAGGAATCTTTTTCTCCTCATAAGTCTTGCGTAGTTTTCTCACTTTCTATAGCTGTAGAACTAAACTTTGGTAAAAAGAAAATCTAATTTTTTTCAGAAAAGGTTTCTCTATGGCTGTTTCTACCTACATAGCAGTGGATATCATTGCAAAATGGAGATTGCATCTTTATATCTGTTGTTCATAAAGCTCCATCTACTCCAAAGGCCTTTAGAATTTCCACACTGCAGCCTACAAAGCTCTTCTTTTCCCCCCTCCTGTGTTAGTTTACACTTATCATGGGTTCTTTCCCTAAAAATACTGCTGATTGACCACTCAATCATTTACCCCAGACTAATTCTAAAAATAAATGACTCTTGTATTGATTAAATACTGTTATCTCCGCCGTCATTATGCAGGCCCAGATTAATGACATACTAATAACTAAAACTATAAAACTACAGTTCTTGGTATAAACCAGGATACTTTTGGTTCTGCATCATATAAAGTGCATCCACAAAACAACTACTGACTTTTATTGCTTGAAAAAATTATTTCTAAGCCTGTCTCTTTAAAACTAAATTTATTATTAAGTGTGTGGAATATAAGGGCAGTAGCTGGCTGTATAAGTGAATTCATTTTAAATAAAGATTATTGTTTTTAAAAATAATACACGTTCAGTTCTGTTTATTGTAGTGGTATTAGCGAAAGACATGACAGGAAAAAATGACTTTAAATTATTGACTTAGATGGTAAATCTCTAAAACAAAGAAATAATGGATGTACCTTAGTCTTTCTTTCTACAGTATGCCAAGTGAAATCTTAGTGGCATTATTATTTGAGATACTGGCATGGTCAGTTTTTTACTTGTTAAGAAATTCAAACATTTGTGATTTGGTTTTAAAGAGAAACTTAAGTCCAAAAAAAGTAATACCAACATTCTCACCAAAAGAGGGAGGAACTCCCTCTACTTTAATTCATAATGCTTAATAGGGAATTTTCAAAAGCAAAAATACTGTCAGTTGCATTTCACACTTGGGTGAGAATATCAGTTTGAAGAGGCCTGATTCTCACTCCACATAAAAATTCAGATAAGAAGACCAGCCAAATCCAGAGGCATCTGCATCTCAGCCCAACGTTCTTTCCCATAGCCTGGCCTCACCCCTGGGGTAAAGTTGATCATATATAAAATAATAACTACAATGAAACTGCACATTTATTGAGCACTTCGTATTCATCTGGCACTGCTCCCACGCATTCCTGTGTTAGCTACCCTAAGCGTCCCAGCTTCCCAAAGATGTGGGTGCTCTGACTACCCCCATTTTACCTGAGGGGCTTGAGGTACAGGGGTTTCCTAGCAGTCTAGGTTTCCAGTGACTGAGCCACAAACTCCACTGCAACCATATACTGAAGCCCTATTTAATGCATTAATTGCTTATGGTAAAGTAACTGTGATTCATTGTGTTTGTAAAAGGACCCCTAAGAGAGCTTTGTTATCAAGCAACTTTCTCTCCTGAGTGTAAGGAATTTAGGGGTGGAAGGGCGGGGAAGATTAGAGGAGAAACTGTTTTGTTTCATATTTCTAAATATCTGCCAGGTCACTGTTGGAAATATTTATTAGAGTAAGAATTGTAAGATCCTAATCTTATCACTTGTAAAATACACAGGTCAGTTAAGCCAACTTTCACCACTCAATGCAAACTTGGCGGTGAGGGGAGCAAAGAGACCTCGGAACCTCTATGAGCCTTTCGGAATTAAAAAGTAATTCCCAACAGCCGACTGCAGCCTAATCATCTGAAGCCCAGGGCGCACCAGTCCCCAGGCCCGGCAGAACACTGCTGCCCGCCTACTCCCAGGCTTCAGCCGCCACTGTGAGGCTGAGGAGCCCCAGGCAGCGATCTGCCCTCCTCTGGGGTCACACTGCGCTTGGTTCAGTATCCTAGGCCACGTGCGATGAAGCAGCCGCTGACATTGGGACCTACCGGGCAGTGGCATCACGGACCTGTCAGCAAACCACGGATCTCGCCCGTAGGGGGACACACCCCCAGCCCCAGCCCGCCAAGGTAAGTCTCTGATTTCTAGCTCCTTGCCCTCGAAAGCTGAGAACTGAAGAAGCAGGTTCCGGGAGCCATTGCAGCTCGGGGCGCAGACTCCCCCATTGAGGCTGCGGTAACCCGGCAACTGGGAGTTGGGAGCGTAGATGTGGGATCCTTGCCGAGCCGTGGCAAGTCCGCAGCCGTTGGATACAGGTGCCCTTTTTCATAATCAGCGAAGCCTGCGACCCGCCTGCTTGTCTGGCAGGGATTCGGCACAGGCAGCCTGGAGTTCGAGAGCTCAAAACTTGGCCATGCTTTCTCACTGTCAAACACCTCTCGCCTCTTTGCTCTAAAGAGTGAGTCCGAGTGGCCAAGATGGCAAGGCAATGGCTGCAGCGCCATTATCAATGGCTTCTCTGCCCACTCTCATCTATTCGTGGGGCCCTCGGCCTCAGATTGCGCTATGCCCTATGACCGGCGCCCAGGTGCCCGGCCAAGCCAAGTTGTGGACTCGCCCCCCTCCTGGCTCAGCTCCGCTCCCCTTCGGTCTCATCCGCGCGGCCCTGGGGTCTCGGGGAGCTTTGCCGGGATTGCACTGCTCAAATTTCAGGCGCGTGCGCGCCGAGGGGAGCAGAGACCGGATTCCCTCAACGCCGTGCCCCCAATCCCTGACTCAAGGGAGGAGGGAGCTGCGCTATGCTGGGATCTCAACTCGCCTTCCCTCGGATTCTACCCTACAGTAAAATGTGCCACAGGGTCCGCTACACACCCACATCCACCCGCTCCCTGCAGCCATAGCCACATCCTCAGCCTCGAGTTCTTTGTCCAGTTTGAGTTTTATTCCAATACCCAAAGACTCATGGAGAAAACTTGGGAGACAGGTGGAAAGAAGATTCAGCGCCCGTTTCTTCAAAAGGCGCTCCCGCAAAGCTTAGCTCTGGGCGCATTAGAGGCTGCGATGCAGAACGCGCCGGGGGAAGTGCGTGTCGCTGGAGTCCAGACACACAGGGGCATTTTTGGTGGAGGCCACAGAAGATCGTTTATAAGGGGCTGGAAGGGGAATGAAAGGAATGAGAAGAGTGATTCAACAAGCCTTTAAAAGAAACCAGGGGTCTGTGGAAACAGCAGTCAGTGAAACCCCGACAGCGCGCGAGCCAAGTGGCGACGCCTGGCTGCCGGGCGTCAGTGGACGTTTCCGTCCTAAGGGCGGACGCCTGCGGGCAAAGGAGTGGGAAACAAGCTCTTTCCGCCTCCGATGCTTCAGACCCTGGTTGGACCCAGGCACTGGGAGTGCGCCCCCTAATCGCCAGCCGGGCGCTGGCAAAGTGGAAATCGGAAAGAAAACCCGAGTGGTTTCACAGCACCTGTAGGACAGGAGCTGCGGACTCAGATGCCCTCCCCTCCAAACTCTTCACCTCCCTGGGGCTCTCTACAAACACCCCGCGACCGCGATGGGCAGTCGTCAAAGGTCGTCGCAGCCACACAGCGCACACCTGAACGACTGCCCGCGCGCACCCGCCCTTAGCGCCGCAGAGAGGAGTGAGGTCTGCAGAGTGGACGGGTGTGTAGGGAGAGGCAAGGAGAGCTGTTGGGTTAGGGCCTGGGGCCCGGGACGCACTCCTGCTCACCTCTCTCACTGGCCTGGATACTGCGCACGATGTCTTCCAGGTCCAAGTCTTTGGTCTCGTCGAAACTGTAGATGGAAGTGTGCAAATCCTCCTCCTCGAAGACCTTGTGGACCCCTTCGAGGGTGAAGTAGCAGTTCCGCTCCAGCTTGTCGTCGCTGTAGACCAGCACCGCGCTGCTCCAGTGGTGGTGGCGGAACAGGGCGAGCATCATCTCGCCCATCTTGGCGTAGGCGGGCGCCACGCGCGTGAGGTGCGAGTACTCAGAATCCTTGCGCTGGAAGCCGGCGGCCAGCGCCCCGGCCGACAGCATGGGCAGGTCCCAGTGCGACGCAAGCCGGGCCACTGGCGCTGCAGCATACTCGCACACCGGACCCAGGATAAGGTCCGGCTTGGCGCCCCGCGCCGCTGCCACGCGGTCCACCAAGCTGAAGAGCGCACGGTTGCCACAGTCGGAGTCCTCGTAGGCCACCTGGAAGCGAGTGCCGGGCGGCAAAAGCCGCCTCCCGGTCCCGTTGCCCTCCACGTTGCGCAGAGCATACTCGATGGCCGGCCGCACCCGGGTCAGCGAGAACAAGTACGAGTTATCCTGGGGCAGTAACACCAGCACCTCGATCTTCTCCGGCGGCAGCGCCTCTCTCTCCTGGCGTCCGCCGCCTACGCCCGCGCCCCCGCCGCCGCCGCCAAAGCCACCGCCAGCAGTGCCGCCGGCCAGCAACGCCCAGCCGAGGAGGACGCAAGGGGAGAAAGTGAGCACCAGCAGAGACGGCATCGTGCCGCAAGAAAGCGCTTGCGCTCGCCGCCGACTCGCCCTGTGCCCCCCACCCACTCTTTCTCTTTCCTCCCCACTCTTCTCTCCAAGGTCCCTGCGCCCCCTTGGGCTCTTTGAGAAAATAGAATACCCCCTTCACTGGCGCGCCAGAAGATAGAAAGGAAGAGTCCTTCTCTCCAATGTCACTAGTTTTTCTTTAAAAAAAAAAAAAAAAAAAAAGAAGAAGAAGAAGACGAAAAAGAAAAAGTTCACCTGGTGTAAACCTGTGCGTCTGTAATATATATACATATATATATTCGCCCTCCCTTTATACATATACTATTTTGTTTAGAGGTGGCTTCTTATTTGGGCGTTGCTAAGGTTGCTTTTGAAAGCGTTTTTGTAAAAGAAAAAAAAAAGTTAGACTTGTCCAAGTGTTTGTAATTGACGGTGCATCTCCCTCGCGTTTGATCTCATTGATTCGCGCGGGTTCCTGGATCCATAGCCCGCGTTTAAATAGCGTGGCAGCGGCTGAGCGTGTCACCACACACGGCGCGCCGAGGCCGGGCTTGTATTTCCAGCGGGTGGGGTGGGTGGGGGTGGGGAAAGGTGGGGACTGGGCTGGGGGAGTCTCTCATTAACATTCTTACATCAGGGCTCCTCCCCGCACCCCTTCCCTACCCATCGCTCGCCTGTCCCTAACCCCCACTCGCTGCCAGCCCTCTGCCTTTTCCTTAAAGCTAAAATCGCCCACGTCTGCATCGGCGACAGCCCCCATCACGCTGCGCGCCTGAGATCCCCGCCTCTCCCTTGCCACGCTCTCCAGCTCCAGGCTTTGAAGAAGGAAATGTGCTTGAAAGTAGAGAAATGCTCGCGCGCGCACACACACATACACACACACTCCATGCACAACAAAACAACAGGACTCGGGGAGAGGAGTGGTTCTAGAAATTGTGGTTTCGGTGCAAGAATCCTCAGGTGCCGCTTGCTCTCACCTTTCTCATTCCGGCCACATTCCCTCCTGACGCACCGACGCGGGGCTAGCACCTGATCTTCTTGGTCCCTCCGCGCAAGGTCAGGGAACCAGTATCAAGGTCGCAGTGCAGATGGCTCCTTCGCGGACCTGGTTTGCCCGGCTGGCCCGGGCGTCACCCACACCCCGCCTTCCTCAGCCCTGCGCCAGCCCCTCCTGCTGTGCCACGCAGGTTCGCGCTGGAATTGCAGCGGTGCCGGGCCCACGGTGTCCCAGTTCACAGACCCTCTGCAGGCGCACTGAGCGCAGGAAAGCGAAACTTGTTGCTCCCAAAAGCGAGCGAAAGGTTCAACTTCTGGAGGTGTCACAAAGCTCAGAAAGCATCCCCAAAGTGTCCTCGGGGCTTTGTTTGCTAAACCAGGTATCTAAATAAAGAGACTGTCTTTCCCAAAACGTTCCCGGCAGGTCCCCTGGGTCCGATGCACGCTCCCCTCCAACCTGAGCGCTCAGAGATCCAAGCGCTCCTCCTCTGGAGCGCGTGTTGCACTGTGCTGGGGTTCTGCGACGCCAAGAAAGGTCCTGTCTCAGAGACCCAGTCCTACCACTGGCCACAGCCGCAACAGCGGTGGAGAGGGCAGGGAAGCGGCTCTGAAGGAGTCCGTGACCAGAGGAAAATCGCTGGAGTCTGCCGCGGGGCAGGGCGGGTCAGGATGGAACTGGACCGTCTGTGCCTACTGCACCCGAGTCATTTGCAATGTGAACGTGCTACACTGGGCGGGAGAATTCTGACAATTAAGTCCCGCAAATCGAAATCCATTGAAAATGTGTTAAAACGGTCTTTCGTTTGACTAAGCGCCGGTGTCCACACATTTTCTTTTAGTCTCAGACCAACGCCCTCTTTCGGCAGAAACTTGCACCCGACTCAATCCCGGAGCCGCAGTCCCAGACGCTGCATTTTTACTCCGACGCCTCAACGCGCTCTGGTTCTCTGACTTTTGGCGGTGAAAAGGCAAACTGGGGTTTCTGGGGATGTGGCAACTTCTGGCGTCCGCGCTCGCCGCCCTTAACAGCACTCTCCTTGTCGCTCTTTCTGGAACTGTCAGTGTGATTGTGGGTAACGTTTCAGCTTCTGGGTCATTTAGATTTCAGTTTACCCAGTGTGATCCCGAAATCTTCACTGTTATGTAGGAGCTTCTAATTCCTGCGAGAACTTTCATTTATTTGATTAGAGCCACTAACTAGGGAGCAAAAGAGACATCTATACAAAATTTCATTCGACCAACGGGGTAATACACACACACTGGAAATTGAGCTTTAGTTCTTCACAACAATTAATTCTTTCCTGAATTTGCAGAAGGGCGGGGGTTTACATTTATAGCAGCATAGGTTTAAAAAAAAAAAAAAAAAAAAGAACAACAACAAAACAAGGGCTAAATCTCCAATTCCAAGGGTCTTAAAGGATTTCAAAACTGGTTTTTCCAGGAGACATGAAGGAACCAGGGTTTCCTATTACTCCGCAGTGTGCCCTGCGTGTGGGGAACACCAGCCGGTGGCAATTTGATTCTGCTGTGTCTGGTGTGGGTTTACGCGGAGAGTCTGTGGTTTCAGTGGCCCCGGTGTGAACGCCTGTCCCATCCCAGATGCTAGCCAGCCTCGCCTGCAGTTCAACAGGCGCTTACGGTAGGGTGAGTGCCCCGTAGCCTCTCCGTGTGGACATGAGCTGTCGACCTGCAGTTTGTCACACTTAAGAGCACCAAGACCAAGCTGCGGAAGGGAAGAGCCCCAAACCACCCAGAACGAAAAAAAAAAAAAGCCCGTATTATGCTCTATGCTGAGGCTCAAAACACCCCCTTAAAAATTCCAATGAGCAAAAGTTCAAAAATTTTTTAAAGCTTTTCAAATGAAAAGAGTCAGAAGATTATAAGGCGACCCACCAAGTAACATAAATGTATGGATTTTAATGTTATAGGTTTGTTTACTTTCCATCAAATTAGAATTTTTTTAACCAACTGAGAGTTTCTGCAAATATGTAGTTCTAAATCTTCAGGCCAGAAGACTTAAGAAGTCACCCAGCCTGACACCCCTCACTCTCTAGATGAATTAAGGCCCAAAAGGGACGTCTTCATCCCCTGAGAATATTTTTAAATAGGATTGGATTCAAAATAAACCGTGGACCACCAGTGACATCATGTAAAAAGTGTTAGGAACAAAGCTAATTCCTACTCTAAGTAATAACATTTTTATATCAAATTTATATATATATATATATATATATATATATGGCTAAGTTTTGAGGCTAGTACAGCACAATAAACCCAAAAATAATATTTTATGATAGAATTTTTGCAGCACTTTAATCAAAAAAAAAAAAGAAAAAAAGAGAAAAAATAGAAATAACATTTCTTTGATTCATTTTTTAAATACCATTTCTTTCAATTCTGTAAAACACCAAAATGGGGAAAAAATAAGTACTTTTTTAATATTCAAAAGAGTGATAACCTTTTTACTAGCTGCTTCCTTTCTGGATTCAGTTGTTGAAGGAAACAAAGGAAAGATACGAGAAAATGGTGCACAATAAAAGAAAATCAGCCATTTGAAAGAAAGGCAATGTTGGCCCTAAACATGATATTTCAGAAACTAATAGACTTTTCATGAGGCTTAGAAACGTTTTACTTAATATCCACAAGCCATGTTTTGTTGTTTGGGTTTTTTGTGTTTTTTTAAGTTTTCTATAGAGTATTCAACACTTTGTTTTCCAGCTCTACAAAATGAAATTACTGTCTTTATGTTATTTCTCACTACCAGGAAAGACACCACTAATATAGGCAACCTAACGTGTAATTCTGTGAAGTATTGTTAGAAATTCTATCAGAAGTAAGTTTTCTCCACCAACTGTAACAGTCTCTGTAACTCTTGTCACTTGGCATTCTGGCTGCAACCTCTAACGTAAAAGCCCATCCAGATTTTCAAAGGGTGTCTTCTCCCTTGTTGAGCCAGCCCTAATGTTGTATTCAAGAATACCCCTGTGAAGCCTGTGGCCCACAATAAAATACCTTCTAAGGACAGAATTGTTGAAAACACACTCCCCCCTAGAGGCAGAAAAGATGAAAGAACATTACAAATAATTCAAGAACATTTCTGTAATGAGTGTTGAGATTTCATTCTTAACATATAGTTGCTGTTTTAGAGGGAACCATTCAAGAAGTGAGGGAAAAAAATCAATGGATGCCAAAAAATTAAATTAAAACTTTGCCTCTAGGTTCTCAGTTTCCTTAGCAGGGACTTTATTAAATTGTTTTCTTCTGTTATACAAGTCTATGATTTTAATTTGCCAGCACTATAAATAATAATAATTTTATATTTTCTATGATTCCATTTCATCAGAAGCCACAGCTAACTGTGACCTTAAGGGGTTCTTTTGAAAAAGAGTTGTTTCGCTATTATAATCCTCTTAGGTTTCCATCAACTACAATCTTTCACTTCTTTGAAGATGTTCTGAGGCAAAGTGACATTACAAAGACTTCTGAAAAATGTATAACCTAGTCGTGATTTAACCTGAATACTGGCATGAGATTTGCAAACTATGTGAAGAATTTTCATAACATTGATTTATAGACAAGTTACTTGATGTAGAATATTATATTCACAAAAAAGTGAATGTATGGGGGGACTTCAAAAAGCTCATGGAAAATGGAATTAAAAGATAAAAATTTTAAATATGAACTTTATTTCTCAACCATCAAGTTCAAGACACTCTTCTGAGTGGCGATACCAACCATGTAGTTTATCCCTAAAAAAAACTAAGGGTCCTGGAAACTTAACCATGTCAATGCAATCTTTATTAACTGAAGAAAAATGAGTGCTCTTTACAGATTTATTTAAGATCAGGAAACAAAGATAAGTCAGAAGGAGCCAAATTGGGACTATAATGTGGATACTTAATGATTTCCCATCAAAATTCTCACAAAATCACCCTTGTTCGATGAGTGGAATGAGCAGGAGTATTTTCATGGTAGGGAAGAAGTCTCTGGTGAAGCTTTCAGAGATATTTCTCTGCTAAAGTTTTGGCTAACTTGGTCAAAACACTCTCATAATAAACAAAAGTTATCCTCCAGAAAGTCAACAAGCAAAATGCCTTAAGCATTCCAAGAAACCATTGCTATGACCTTTGCCCTCGACCACTTCCACCTCTTAGTAGCCACTACTTTGACTGTGTTTATCTTCAGGATCATGTTGGTAAGGCACAGTTTCATCCCCTGTGTATTACGCCATTCTTGCAGTAACATAAGGAAATACCTGAGACTGGGTAATTTATAAAGAAAAGACGTTGAATTGGCTCATGGTTCTGCGGGATGTACAAGAAGCATGGCACCTCATCTGCTCGGCTTCCGATGAGGGCCTCAGCACTTACAAGCATGGCAGAAGGTGAAGGGGGAGCAGGCATCTCACATGCTGAGACAGGGTTGAGGGTTGTCCGGGAGGTGCCACACAGTTAAATAACCACATCTCATGAGAACTCACTCACTATTGCCAGGGACAGCACCAAGTCATGAGGGATACTCCCCCATGATGCAAACATCTCCCACCAGGCCCCACCACCAGC